CTATAAAAGATGCAATATTATGGTGTTCACAGTTGGTCTTATAATTGTACCCTCTACAAATTGATATATGATTTATTAGAAGGGTCATACTAGATTTTAGAAATTATTATAAAATATTCCAAGAAAATATTACTACATATCATACTTCATTCTAAAGAGGGTACTATCCTAAGAATAATGGTTAACACCTTTATTTTCTATCATCAATTATTTTTTTACAATATCCCCCCCCTTTTGCTTTTTTTTTTACAAGAGTTAACAATAATTTGACCACATTTTTCCCCAAGAGGTGACAACTAGAAATCCAACAACCTAATTACAATAGTAAGACATATTCCAATCTTAATACAATTAGCTGAAAATTAAAGATAAAAAAGAAAAATTAATGAATTATTCATATAACTCAATTTATGTATAAATTAAAATAGTCATATAAAATAAAAATATTCTATATTATTAAAAAATCTAGTAATGCAGATGTTGAAATGAATTCTCAATAGCATAATTAACATCTACTACAATCAATTCCAAATCTACACAAAGTCATAACTTCTATTTTACAGAAATGCACAAGATACTTTTATCGATTTTGCAGTATATAACTAAAAGTAAGAGTAATAGAAATTCAATATTAAAAATAATGAATTGCACTTATCATATTCTAAATCCCATCACTTTGATATGTAAAGCCCCTCATAAGTGTGAATGCTAAAGAAAACTTTGTGCTGAATGTCTTGATGATCATGGAGTAGATGGTAATCATACAATATCTCTGAAAAAATTTTAAGAAATGGCTATGAAGAAATTAAAAGACTTCAACCTTAATGATACAACTGAGTTAACCAAATAGAGAGTGGCCTTTAAAGCCTTGCTCACTCAAACAGAATAAATGATGAAGAAAATTTGGGAAGAATTGTCAGAATCTATCAAATAAGTATACGATCAGATTGAAAAGGAAAACTAATCTTACTTAAATCTCATCAAGGAAAATACGAATCTAGCTGAATCCTCTTACACAGACTTAGAAAAATTAGTAAAAATTGTAGAAGGCTCAACTTTAAATGATTGGAATGCTTCGAAGAATTCTTATATTAATTAGTTAGATAAGACTTAGAGCTGGTGGGACCAACATATAAAGGCTTTTTTTGAGAAGTCTAACTAAGGAATCCAACAGATCCAATCATTAATCAAGTAAGTATTTGTTTATTATTGTAGAATTTAAGCTAATCAAGAAGAAGAATCAGAAGAAGTATATTAAATGAAGGAAGATCTTTATGAGATGCTAAC